TTTTTCTATCAAAGTCAATTGATTTTTAGGCCATGTTAAGTCAAATTATCATACACCAATTTTTTTTTACCTAAGATTCTTATCTTGTCCCCGCCTCAATCACTGTTRTAATTAATTATCTTTTTTTATAACGACACAAATTCAAAGTTTTTAAGGATTTTTTCAGCATAAAAATTTTACCTTTTTTTATACTTTTGAGAGATAAACATGAGGTCTGTATATGTTAGTTCTGTACAAGGTAATTTTTTTCAAGTGAGCAGTGCTTGTAGAAGGACCTGTCATACTTCTGTCAGGTATTTTGAATTTTTTTAGACCAAGAGGCTCAGCACAGGCTGTTCCAACAATATAACAATAAGTATTAAACTTTTTTTCACGTTCAGGGTTCCTACGACGATAGGGTACAGTAACACCTTGGCCACTAGACATTTTTTTGCACAAATACAGCACACACTTTGAATCAGTCAGGTGCGAGGAAAAGATGTTAGTTTTTTTTTGCGACTTGAAATCAGAACTCTGTATCGCGTGAAKTGATTACGTTAAAAAGGAATTTTTTTGTAGCGCGAAAGGGGATTGGGTAGCGCGAAGGGGGCGGGTAGTGAGGAAGGACATTTTTTTAGGGAAGTCAGTATATCAACTTTATATCATGCTGAAGTAATTTTACCTTTGCATCCATAAAGCTCCAATCTTAAACAAATTCTGTTTTGCCACGATGAGACTACAATCCTGACAAATCGACCAACAAAAGCAGGGTCGAGGTCGATTCTTAATGTTTCGTGTTTGTTAGTAATTCCTTTTTTTGACTATGAAAAATAACCAATCATTAACGCGAAATATCTGATATAAAACAAGTAGTTTTTTTCAGCTCTTTATCACATGTACAATGCCGTTACCTTGATCACTGGTGGATTGACTTTGTAATCAAACCACTGACTTTCATCTTGACTGTACTTCAATGTAAACCCAGTAACCCACGCTTCACTATCGTTAGTTCCAACGGACTTCAACTTAGCTTGAAGAGCCAAGCCACTGACCTTGTGAGGAATATTAAGATCGATCTGTAGATATTGACCAGGTGTCTGTGCATTAGAACACCAGCCACCATGACCAAGATGACGATTAAGACGTGCATAAGCAGGAGAATGATTGACACTAAGAGAACTGGATGCCGTCAGTGCAGAGTCTGGAATATAGTGTTCCTCTAAACCAAGATCGSCTTTATTTTTTTAAAGAAATAAAAAACGAAGAACTTAGAATGGAAGATCAGGAAAAACTGAAAAGTAAGAAATCACTGAAAGTGAATGAATAAAAGCGATGAAAAATAAAAAAAACCTTCAACATTTTTTTTTTATGCAACTTTAAGGCACAAGTGACCAATGGTTTTTGTGAATGAAATCTTGAGATTTTTTTTCTTGACTGGATACTGCAGCTCGTGTAAGAAAGCATCCATCATGGACGCTTCTCGTTTTTTTTCCTATCGGAAACGAATCGATTAGGTAAGAGGTAAAGAGATAATTTCATGGCGCTTTTTTTGATATCTGTATGAGGATTTCAACATTTAGGTTGGAATAAACTTCAAAGCTCATATTTTTTTGCACAATTTTCTTCAAAGCAAAGAGGAGGACTCTCGTTATTGCAGGCTGGGACTTTTTTTTAGATTGATACAGGAATGCGTATAGCCACTATTTCTAGGGATATTGTCTAACCTTTTTTTTTCCGCTCTCAGATATATCCTCCTTATAATCTATCCATGTTGAACCATCATCAGAGTTTTTTTTCTGGTATATCTTAACGTATTCCCCTGTAACTGGATGTCCCATTGTCACTATCTTTTTTTTGACAGTAATGGCGGGAAATGYTGCTTGTAAGTAAGGAGAGGAATCAGMGGTAGTTTTTTTTCAAGAGCTGTCAGTTACTGATACGTGGGCCTTGTCTACTGTGTGASCTGCCAGTTTTTTTTAGGCGGTGAGRGTATAGCCACTAAGAACCTTGCTAMRAYGTGACCTATTACATCTTTTTTTATGAAATAATGAAGAGATTCATGGAAATATATGAGAAACACCAAAGAAACATGATTTTTTTCAAGGAYGATTCACGAGGAAATATGATTGCAAAACACGGTTGAAAAAATACGCCTTTTTTTTTTTAACAAGAGGACTYCAAGGAATTGATTTATCTTGTTTTATACTTACCATAACAGCCGTACAATTCCACTCGAAGGCACGGATAAAGGTGAAAGGATTTGATAATGATTTTTACACTTCTCGCTGCAACGGTGTAGTTTAGACGATATTTTCTTGTATCGTGCCTGTCCGTAGATTTTTTTAAAACCTCAAAGACAAGAACGATATARAACACTGTAATCTCAATGTCGCAATTATTTTTTTCATTCACAGGGGTGCATCCAAGATTCATTAAAAAAAAGAAATCAAAAAGAATAATTTTTTTAAAGAATAATGATGAAAAAACTGATTTCCTTATGTGATAAGCCAATCTTCGCACTTTTTTTCAGTTTGTTCAGTGGCTTTGAAACAACAAACAACAACAGCAGCAGCAATAACAATTTTTTTAACAATCTATTAAGACGACTCTAAATACAATTGCAGGTAAATCAGCCGTCGTAGTTTTTTTGGGACTAGTCTTGATTTGAGGCGAGGGTGATAAGAAAGAAAAGAAGACACTAGGTTTTTTTAAATGAAAGGTAAGATCACGGGTACCCTGCGACCCTAATCTATCAATTCATAACTTACTTTTTCTTTGCCGTCTTGAAGGTAAGGGACATGAAAAATGCCATCTCTACTGTACCATTTTTTTAACCCAGTAACATAATTCGGGTGAGACCCTCTTCCTTGTACAGCAACACCGCTGTTTTTTTTCACTACAGGCCCTAAATCGATGCGGAGAAAATGACCTATRSCAGAACTTCCTGTTTTTTTGTTAGACCYAATGATYGTATTCAAACGAGCTCTCCTWGGTGGRWYACCGCCTTGTTTTTTTGACGTGTGAATGGATCGACGAGGTATTTTCCAGTTTTCCATGCCAAGAGCAATCTTTTTTTCTAGGAAATGTAGGAAATGTTAATGAATAACGTATATAAAAATGTTAATGAATATTTTTTTTATAAAATGTTAATGGTTGGATGATGAAAGGGATAGGTTTCACTTTAATACAGTTTTTTTTAGCTATATAGAATAATATTAATTAAATTATTTTCCGAAGCTGTGCCTATTCGTTTTTTTTTTTTAATATAAGAACACTCAAAAAATCATCAGCATTGCGTCGAACTTCACCTATTTTTTTTTTTCTGTGTCTTGATCAAGTGTTCTAGAACATATAGCGTACCTACCTTGACACCCTTTTTTTTCCATTCTCATGCATATATGATTATGCCAAGTTTTCGGATGAATTCGTACAAATTTTTTTTTCATTTCTTCACTAATATTGACCATCTTTACTTCGTATTTGTTGCTATTTCCTTTTTTTTTCTGGAAAAGTTAGTTAAAAGTTTTTCATAGTTGGATACAACACATAAGTAAATTTTTTTTTAACAAGGTTAGTTGAACAAACATGGAAAACCCTCTATCATAATGGACACAGAAATTTTTTTGCAAGTGTCCGTAATACAGAGTTGTYCTCAAGGAAAGGWAAGATRTTGCACTGCTTTTTTTCAGTGGTTGCCTGTTTGATGTCGGTCCAATTGTAACCGTCTCTAGAAKACGACATTTTTTTCGACTTCACCCAGGCKTCTGCCAGCKTTGGGTTTTCTGTAAGYTTTTCTTTGCCTTTTTTTAGAACACTTCGTATTTTATGTTGGGAACCAAGATCGACTTGTAGAAACTGGTTGTTTTTTTTGTACCTAGAATGACCACAGGGTATTACAGTATTTGACTTCACTCATACCCTACTTTTTTTATCCACGGGAGGTAGTGTTATGTAGTACGATGTAGTGCCTTACCTTGCACACCATTTTTTTCCGATATCATTGTTCCCTACCCTACCCATCCAGGGGAGGTAGTTTGCATTTATMTTTTTTTACGCAGTCATGGCCGAGTTTGGCACTCGCCAATCAGCAACACCAAGTTCATCTTTTTTTTT